AGATATATCGATAGAGAGAGATATAGAGATATATCGATAGAGAGATAAAGAGATATATCGATAGAGAGATATAGAGATATATCGATAGAGATAGATATCGATAGAGAGATATATCGATAGAGATAGATATCGATAGAGAGAGATATCGATAGAGATAGATATCGATAGAGAGAGATATCGATAGAGATAGATATCGATAGAGAGAGAGATATCGATAGAGAGAGATATAGAGAGATATCGATAGAGAGAGATATAGAGATATATCGATAGAGATATATTGATATAGAGATATATTGATATAGAGATATATCGATAGAGAGAGATATAGATAGATATCGATAGAGAGATATATCGATAGAGATATATATCAATAGAGAGAATTATCGATAGAGAGGTATATCGATAGAGAGAGAGAGACAGAAAGACAGACTGTATATTCAACCTTTATATATACAGGTTAATCCCATTGAGCCTCGGGGACACATTTACAAGAGATCTGATTTCTTTAACTTAATTTTCTTTTCTTTTTTTTACAAATTAAAACAAAATGGCAACCAGAAGAACAATCAAAAGGAAAAAGTAGCAATAAAAAAAAAAGCTAGATTATAAGACTGTGTAGAAAACTACAAACGGGAACATATCTGCATTGGTTTTTGCCAGGAACTTAACAGATGTTTAAAGCCACTTAAAGAGGTCGAGCTTCAGATCTTTCAATATATAAAACAAGTGCCTTAGTCCCAGTGATTTGAAAGATAAAAAAAATACTGTTAGTATTCTGACAAAATATTTGCATGGTTAAAATGAAAATTAAAACACTAAAAAAATATTTTAAAGGGTATAATAAAATGTAAAGATCCCTCTCTATTTTAGTTATTAAATGTTAAATATGTTAACTTAAAACTTTTGTAAAACCATAAATCGAATTAAACTTATGATATAAAACAGATTCTGTGGATCACTGCTCATAGCATTAGCATAAACTTTTTTTTAGTTGAACATGCAGTGAAGAGTCCTAATGTTTGCCATCTGTTTTATCTGAGCTGTTTAAATCTGCCCGACACGTGTGTTTGTTGGACAAAACATGGCTTATAAGGCTTTATTATACATATATTTTTTAATATATTTATTATTTTTCTACCACAGATTGGCTCCTGCTCATCAACTGTCATTTTTCACCCTTTCTCTTCCAATATCTGTAAATATTGGCCTTTAATTTCCTTTTTCATTCTCGTATTGTTCACTTTATTCAAATGTAACTGTGGCATAACTACAGCTTACATTCACACAATTACCTTTGGGTAATTTCTTATTTAAAAACAACACGTTTTAAATTGTTCTTTCTTTTTAACAAATATTACTAATATACCAAATGGTAGCATTTCTCTTTCGACCTCAAATTTCTCTCCCAAACAAAAACCACAGGAGCTGCCCTTCTCTGCTTGTCCTTTTTTTTTTAGTTTCCTCTTCTGTCTTCTATCTTCTCCTTAGGCCATGTTTGCAAGCTACGTCCCTGAAATCATAGAGTTAATAGGAAACCGCAAGAAATACGGTGGTTCCTATAGTGCGGTTAATGGGAGAAAGTAAGTACTCAAGGAGGCTCTACTGCCTCCGCCGCAGTAGAGCTTTCTCTGCATGCCCTTTTCTTTTTCTTTTTCATGCATGTAGGCCATGTTTGCTCGCTACGTGCCAGAAATTGCTGCTCTCATCCTTAATCGGAAGAAATATGGAGGGAGTTATAACTCGACCAGAGGCAGAAAGTAAGTCAAACTAATAAGGGAGAAAAGAAACTTGTAATGGTGTGGTTTTGTGTGACTTGAGTGGACCTCTCGTAACTTTGGTGATGCTCAGATTTCTGTTCAAGCATCATGAATTTGAGATGTAAGGATCTCAATGAGCTCAAAAGTCACACTGTGACTGAAGAACTTGGCCATGATGATTGTGTTGATTGTTTTGCTACCGCTTTGTGTATATGTACAAGCTGCTTATCATAAAATGTCTGCTTTTACACTGTAAAAAATGATCTAAACAAGGGAATTATTATTATTTTTTTTTGGATTGAGTCCTAAAAGTTTTATTTGCTTACTATATTTATAAACACATAAAATTGCTAGAAAACAAATTTGATTACGGTATGTTAAAATGTGAAATTAGTTTTACCCTCATGCAGATTGTTCACTTATTTAAGAAAATAAAGCTTTGGGAGCTCAAGTATAGATAAAATGTAACTAATCACACATTTTATTTGCTTTGTTTTCATGCTTAAATGTGTCACGTGTAGGATTTTCTCACTTACAAACTGTGATTATTGACTAAATATAGTTAACCAGTGCTTAATTTGTAAGCCAAACGATGCTGAAACGCAAATAGTGAGGTTTGGGGGAATTTGGAATAAAGTAGATGCCATTTCCTGCATTCTGGTTGGTAAACATCTACGTTTACCTACATAAGTAAACACTCGATTCAATAACTATTCCAGAGTGTAACTAGAAGTAGCCTGACCAACAGCTCTCCTTGTGTTAATAGAGAACGCTCTGCTTCTTTCAAGCATCCTAAACCCCCCACTGCCCCCAGCGTCAAGTACTATCTCCATTGCCACTGCTTTTATGTGCTTCAATTCTCGGATCTTTAGTTGTACAACTAGAAGACTTAAAAAAAAATGAAAGTAAACTGGAGTGTCTTTGACGTTTTGATAGCTGTTATTTTGACAAATTGGCACTATTGTTTTGATACGTGATATACGTATTTTTAATCAAAATTTTATTAATGACCCACTGAAACTGTAAAACTGATGTGCAGTTTAGCTGTGCTGTTTAATTATATTTTTGTGTTTTTAATCAAATTACCCATAACTGTGCTTTAAGGGCGTAGATTCTTTGAAGGGGGAGTTCTTATGTGATATTGGGAAGCTTGTAAGTGGTTACGTTTAAAATTAGTGTTTATGTAATTACCGGTACTTTCAGATTACATGTCCAATATAGGTTTTATTCGTTCAAGGCAGACACATTTGTTAATAACTTTATTATTACCCTGAGAGTTAACGGATCCAAGCAAACAGTTGCCGGAATGCATCCTGTCAAAATAAGAGCGTCCTCAGCTCCTGTTCCAGCAGGATCCAGCTCAAATTAAGCACTGGAACAAGCTTTTCTTTAGGCTGAAAAGCAACTGTAATGACAGAAAACACCATCTGTATTTTCCACCATCTTCAAACACAATAAATGTTTAGCTAACGTTCAGCAGCGTACAGTCAAAGATAGCAAGTTTTTTTTGTTTTTTTTTAATTCCCCAAGATTTCCATTTTAATTTGCCAGAACTCAATAAAACGGTGACTGAAATTTGGTTTTAATATTTCCAACATCTTTTAACATGAGATGCTGCTGGATTCAGCTGAATTTAGATCAGTTTAAGCTCTGTGTCCATTAGGTGTGCAAATAAATTCATTACATTGCTTAGTGCTTTGCCTCAAGGGTCTCATAGTCAAACACAACAATCTAATTATTGTGCAATGCTACTAACTCATAACGGTGGGAGGGAATTTGCAACAAGCATAAAAATATTTACCATTAGTGATAAAATGCTTTTTAGGAAAATCAAGAAAAGCTTTTAATGAGAGTGGCTGGCTAAAATAGCAGAAATGCTGTTTTGTAAATGTAATAAATGTGTTTGAATTAAACATTTTAGCACCCTTGATGCAAATGACTAAATGTTTTTATTAAACCAGCACACTCACGGACCTTTGCTCCGTATTCATTAGTTAATTATGTCTATGTTGAGAAAATCCAACGTTTTGTGGTGTTTTAAGATGTTTGTCATTGTGCATTTGTTGCGGTTGCTTCTGCAGTTCAATTATTCTTGTTGTTTTGTTATTCACCCACTTCTCCCTCACATTCAGCCATATTTGTTTTTAATGTCACACAGAAAAGGCAACTATTGAATGAAGTTCTGCTTATCAGAATCTAAAATCCGGTTTTGACCACAATTTTTTATTGAATAGGACTCACTTGGCTTCAAACATTCAAATGATCCATAAATCTAAACCTCACTGAAGAATACTGATTAATTTAGACAAGTTTACGCTAGAAAAAAACAATTTTTTTTAAGAATTCAGTTTAAAGGCAAAGCCATGAAGTTGCATGCATGTGATTAAGTTCCTCTGCTTTCACAGATTAAAAAACAAACTCCTACATTTGGTCCTGTGTGCCGTCGCTTGCTTCACGCTTGTTTTCAAATCTTCTTTTTCTCAGCTTGAAAATCCTGCACTGTGTTGCTCTGCTTGTTTTCACGCCACGCTTTGCTTTTTGAGCAGTCTTGGCCCTAATCTTCAGTCTGACCTACACCCTAAGAACAAAACTAAAGCTTAAATTATTGAGCACTGTAGAAAATGAAACCTTTTTTGCTTTCTTGCTGAAAGTTGGGTGAGAGAATTGATTGTGATAAACAAGATTCTGCAAAAAACACAGGAAGTCAGAATATATCAGGACTTTTGTTCTGGCTCTGCTAATATATTTAAATAGATGAGCTTTTGTACTTAGTAAAATAAAAGTAATCTCAACCCACATGATAACATTTGTTCAACTTAAATAAATCCGAAGGACTATATATAAATTAATATACAGTAGTCCCTCATTTATTATGGGTTTTGGGGACCAAAAGTCCGGTTAACCTTCAGATGGACAACCGGATCATCGGCCGCATGCATGCATCCGCTGACCAGCCGGTTGAAAGAGGTAAAAAAAAAAAAAGTCCCATTAAGCTCCCAATGGATCACCGGATCATCAGTTGCATGCGTCCCACTCAGGGCTCATCATTGGCTGGTTGAAACAGATTTTAAAAAGTCCCATTAAGCTCCCAATGGATTACCGGATCATCGTCCGCATGCGTCTCGCTCAGGACTCATCATTGGTCGGTTGAAACAGATTATAAAGATCCCGTTAAGCTCCCGATGGAGCACTGGATCATCAGCCGCACATGTCCCACTCAGGGTTGAAAGAGATGACAAAAGTCCTAATGGGCTCCGGACGGAGTGCCGGACCTTCATTTACTCATGTTTGCTTGGAGGTCCATGATGGCTGGCTATCAGCTCTCAAGATTCACCGATGGATCTGGAAGTCTGAATCTGCTCCGGGGGTGCGGATTAGATCAAAACTTTACAGTACCTCTGGTTTTTATCAGCAAAAGGAAATGGGGCTTCTGGTCGGGGCCCTGTTGCCCTCTGGGAAATGTGATCATTATAAGCGTGAATACAGAGGAGGCTTACCGAGAGAAAACTACAAAATGATGGCACCTGTCCGAAATATTGTATTTTTTTGTTAACGTTTTACTGTACACAAAAAAGGTTAAATGATTTCATCTGGACCAGTATATTTAAGGGAGAAACGTTTCGTTTTCCATCCAGAAGACTTCATCAGTCTATGGCCTGCCAACCAGATCTGTCCCATAAGTAGCCTTCATTGCTGTGTTTCAAGCCAACCTCCTGTTGGAATCTCAGAAGCCGGCTTTTAACACATGCAAAAGGACCCATCTGTCCAAAACACTCAATCATCTTGATTAACAATCAAATGTTTTAGGCCAGAAGGCCGATACTACTCACAGAAACAGCCCGAGGACACAAGAAACTGGTCCAGATGAAATGATTGAACCTTTTTTGTGTTAGCTACCCGGACGATTGAGCCTACAAACCTTTTTTTTTTTTTTTTTTTACTGTACAGTACTGTCCCAATCACATGAGTAATAGTTGTTTTTTTGTCCCAAAAAAACACAATAGATCGAGTCCGCAAAAGTCGAACCGCGAAGTAGTGAGGGACTACTATATATCAACAATAAAATAATTCTTATTGCTACATGATTTTTAACCTCAATAAAAATGTTTATGCCCTTTATGTTCGACAGCTTAAACCATTTTAATTTCTCCATTCTTTTGTCTTAGAAACTTCTGTCTACATTTACTGTAATTGTATTGTTCATAAATTAGCAGTTGGTTTACAGAGTTTGGCTTCTCTGCAATAAATGTGAAGGAAAAACTACTCACGGGGTTTCGTGTGAGACTGTGCTCGTGCACATTTAACTCGTCACTGCTAAACCTAATGACAATTTATTTTGACTTCTCCACGCGTCCTTAAAGTCCCCACTGTCCACTTGTGATGACATCACCATAGATACATAATATGTATGTGTTGGAAGACACTCTTTATAATTTTGCAAGTGTCAGTAATGTATATTTTTCATTTTGGTTCAGATCCAAACAGACTGATTCTTCTTCTGAGCTCCATGAATCATAAAATAGCTTTGATCTTTTTGTCTGACACCCTGCAAGAAAGCAAAAAAAGTGTTTTACCCCAAAATGCCACACTATTCTTTTAATATAAACTGTACACCTTAAAAGCTCTGCAGATGTTACTAAAGACAGTGAAATTCTGCTGAGTGCCTCAAATGCCTCAAAATGTGTCTCATGCATTTATTAGTTCCAGTATTTATAAATGTTTTTGTTCTAGTTTAAACAATACTGTATTTAGAAGCACTGCTTTAATTGATTGCAATGTAAAAATATTCAGAAAACAAGATGCTAAATTAGGAATTGTCTGCTGCATAATGATGTAATTCCTTTTGTGTTGAGGTAAATTTTATTCTAGTTGTAATGTTTATTAATTTTAGAGGTCAAGTTGTTGGTCATTATTGATCTAATTATTGCAGAATATGAAAGTCATTGAGAGCTTACTGTTTATAATGTTTTGTTAATAATTTAACTAGAATATATTAACAAAAACATTTTGTATTGTCACATGAATAACATTAATTTATCAATTATAGAAAAATATTGAATGTTAACTTTTATTGTGTCCAAGCAGAGAGGCTATTTTGACTTTCTGTTTCTCCTCTGTCTCTTATTTTACTAATCACTGCTTTTTTTAATTTGTATTTTTACTTTCAATGATAAAAGACTGGACTGACTTGCTCAAGTAACTAGAAAAATTGCATTTCCTGTGAAAATGCAGTGGGAATGCTCATTTCAGAAGAACTTGCTGGAAAAACAGCTGAAATTAGCTAAAAACCTGCTGAAATGTTGCTGAAATGGAAGAACAAGCCTAACTTAGCAAAAGAAAGCAGAAAGAACTCGTATTTGCTGAATTAGGTTTAAAGAAATAGAAATGAGCGCAAAAATTAGCAAATTAGCTAAAAATCGCTCAAATTAGCGAGAAATAGCTGAAAAGTAGCTGAAAAGGCAGAAAGAAGCTTAAACTACCAAAAGGAAGTGGAAAGAGCTGAAATAAGCTAAAAAAAAAAGTGGAATTAGCTGAAAAAGGTTGAATTAGGCCGAAAGTACCACGAAAAACTTGGAACTGTTCTGAAAACAGCTGAAATTAGCTAAAAAAAAAAAGTTAAAGGTAGCTGAAAACGTAGAACAAGCTTAAATTAGCAGAATAAAGCAGAAAGAACATGTTTACCCAATTAGACTGAAAGAAGCAGGAATGAGAACAAAAAGGTGGAAATTATTTGGAAAAAAGCTTAAATTAGCAACAATAGCAGAAAGAAGCTTAAATTACCAGAAGGAAGTGGAGAGAGCACATTTTGCTGAATTAGGCTGAAAAAAGTTTAAATTAGTGCAAAAAAAATGTGGAATTAGCTGAAAAAGATCAAATTATCATAAAAACAGCTAAATAGTAACTAAAATAGCAGAAAAAGCTGAAACTTGCAGAAATAAGCTTAGGGGATCATATCAAGCTGAAATTAGCAGGAAGACATTAGAAGAAGCACAAAACAGCTGAAATTAGCTGAAAGTAGCTGGAAAAAGTTTAAATCTGCACAAAGAAGCTGAAAAAATCTGAACCGGAACAAAATGTGAAAGGAGCAGTAAAAGGTTGTGAACAGATCTAAAGGTCTGAAGGATCTAAAATGAGCTCAATTCATTTCCTATGAGAAAAAAAATTGTCAGAAAAGGCTAAAAATACAATACAACTTTATTCATAAAGCACATTAAAAACAACACTATTCTAAAAGCTAAAGTTGCACAAATACCAAAACTCATAGCGCTCTTCTCCTGAACGAGCTGAATGTTTCGATGTATGATTTGTTGAAATAGCACAAAAAGTGTGGAAAGAGAAAGATGCTGAAAAATGTGAGGAAGAAAAATGGATCACAATAGTGTGAATGCTTCATAAATATTCACACTATTACAATTTCTGGCATTTAAGTCTCAAAGTGTCCTTTATGTTTTTATGAAACATTTACTATAGTGAACACCTAAAAAGGCTGCTTGCATAGATAATTAAAAATGTATCATTAAGACAGTTACAACCAAACTGTAGTTTTATGTAAAGAGGCTGCAGTCAAACGGGACTGTGTGTTGATGTTAATAATCTCCATCCCAGTAAAGTGATATTCTATAATCTGATGCTGAAATCCATAATGCTCTGTGACCTTCTTATCGTATTCAGAACGTCAAGCATCGCCCGTTTTAACTGTAGCTGTTATATTTACACAGGATTCAGCTCATCCCTGTGAATGTCTATGACGTCCCTCTCAGCTCAACTTTTAGATTTTAGCAAACATTGTTTATCTCTGTGCGTTTTAGGTTTTTTTTATTGTTCTGCGCCTCCTTTTTTCAGGCACATTGTGGTCTGCGGTCATATAACACTGGAGAGTGTGTCAAACTTCCTAAAAGACTTCCTACACAAGGACAGGGACGATGTCAATGTAGAAATTGTTTTTCTCCATAAGTAAGTGCCACATTTGGTTGTTTACCTGCGTATTTGAGAATCAAAGCACGTCTGAGGAGAAAAGTCGGTGGATTTTAATGTTTTGACATTTCTCCTTATTTTTCTCCTCCTTAGTATTTCCCCTAATCTTGAGCTGGAAGCCTTGTTCAAGCGTCATTTCACCCAAGTAGAGTTTTACCAAGGATCTGTCCTAAACCCACATGACCTGGCCAGAGTCAAGGTAACATATAATCCTCAATCTCTGCCACTGACAGAAACTCTAATTTGTATTTTAATACTGCGTTATGATTGGATAACTTTTATTTTTTAGATTGAATCAGCTGATGCGTGCCTGATCTTAGCCAACAAATACTGTGCTGACCCCGATGCTGAGGATGCTTCCAACATTATGAGGTCTGCAGATTAGACCAGATTACAGATTTTATTTTATTTGACTGCTGTTTTCGTGCAAAATTACAGTTAGCTGCAGAAATCCAGGTACGGTTCAGTTTATAAGGTGGAAACTGCATTTATAATAAGTTTAAACATTTCTCCTATGTTGTGTATGAAGGTGTTAACTGTTTTTTAATATTTATCTTTTACATTTTTACATGACTCCTTTTTTTTTTTGTTTAATTACATGGAAGCTTTAAATGTTTACATTAAAAAAAAAATAAAAAAAAAGATTTCTCTAGATGATCAAAATGGGTAAACTTAAAAATTAAACAAAACGGCCAAATATTTTAAAGGAACAGACCAGAGCTTGACTATTTTATTTGTTTGATTTGTGTTTTCTGTGAAAATTGAGTATGAATGCTTATAGCAAAAGAACTTGCTGAAAAACAGCTGAAATTAGCTTAAAAAATGCAGAAATGGAACAGCCTGAATTAGAAGAAAGCAGAAAGAACACATATTTGCTGAATTAGGTTTAAATAAGCTGAAATTAGCACAAAAATTAGGAAATTGCAAAAAAATAACTATCAGAAGGAAGCAAAAATGGCTGAAATGAGCTAAAAACATTAAAATTATCATAAAACGGCTAAATAGCAGATAAAGCTGAAACTAGCTGAAAAAAGAAATGAGCAGAAATAAGTTAATTAGGCTGAAAGTAGCAGAAGTTACTACAAAAACTTGAATTTATCTGACAACAGCTAAAGATTAGCTAAGAAACATGCTGAAATGTGGTTGAAAAAGTAGAAAAAGCTTAAATTAGCAGAAGAAGGCATAAACATGTTTGCCGAATTAGGCTGAATGAAGCAGAAATGAGCACCAGAATATAGAAATTATTTGAAAAAAGGCTGAAATTAGCACCCCCCCGAAAAGTAGCTAAAAAAAATCAGAAAGAAGCTTAAATTACCAGAAGGAAGTGGAGCACATTTTTGCTGAAGTAGGCTGAAAAAAGTTGAAATGAGTGCAAAAAATGAGGAATTAGCTGAAAACACTAAAATTAACATAAAACAGCTAAATAGTAGCTGAAATAGCATAAAAAGCTGAAACTTGCAGAAAGAAGTTTGAAGAGGCACAAAAATATTGGTTTGCAGAATTCAAAAGGAGCACAACACAGCTGAAAGTAGCTGAAAAAAAGTTTAAATTTGAACAAGGAAGCTGAAAGAAGCTGATCCAGAACAAAATGTGAAAGGAACAGTAATATGTTGTAAACAGATCTAAAGATTTGAAGGATGTAAATTTAGCTCGATTCATTTTCTCTGAGGAAAAAAGTGGCAGAAAAGGCTAAATATTTCAAAAAAGCTAAAGTTGCACCAAAACCAAAAGTCATAGTGCCCTTCTCCTGAACAAGCTGAACATTTTGATGTCTAAATTGCTGAAATCGCTTAAAACAGCGGGACGAGAGTCGTGCCAAAAAATGGACGGAATAGGATTAGCAGTCAGAATAATTTTGAAACTGGACCAACTTTTTAACACAGCCTTCAGATAAAGTCAGTTGTCTTTATTTTTAGAAGACAAACCAGTTTTAAACCATTCTTTGAGCACACTGTTCAGCTTTATGAGAGAAGAACATTATGTTTTATCGCATTTAGACTAAGTTGATATGAAATAATTTTGCCTACATTCACCATGCAGTAAAAAATCATTTGCTTTTATGTCTACAAATTCACTTAAAAAGAATGGCAGCATGCATGCGCCCTGCAGCGCATTTAGCAGAAACACTCAAACCGCACGCAGCAGTATCCGTTACACGTTCTGCAGCAAGAACGGTGAACAAAGTGCTTCAGATTTGATTCTCACTGCAAATAATCAGATGTGCTGACACAAAATGAGCAAGAACTGAAAGAGGCCGTACAAACACAGCTGAGATGTTCTGGCGTTCTTCTTTTTTGTTTTTGTTTTGTCAGGGTGATATCTATCAAGAACTACCATCCAAAGATCAGAATAATCACCCAGATGTTGCAGTACCACAATAAGGTCGGGATGCCTTTCACAGGAATCGTCGCAGTCTGTTACTGTGTAAACCTTAAATAAATCTACTAATGTTTACGAGGTATTTATATATATACTTTAATGTTTTTCATTTTTTTTCCCTACTGTAGGCCCACCTTTTGAACATCCCCAGCTGGAACTGGAAGGAGGGAGATGATGCTATTTGCCTTGCAGAGCTGAAGCTTGGGTTCATCGCCCAGAGCTGCCTGGCTCAGGGCCTCTCCACCATGCTGGCCAACCTGTTCTCCATGAGGTCCTTTATCAAGGTAGTGAGACGGGACTTCAAAGTGAATTTGTCACAACAAAAGAGACGTTGATTCTACAAATGCAGTGTTGGGTGGGCTGGTGAACCTGTCTCTGTATTTTGTGTAGAATAAGTTTTTCTCTCGTGCAGATTGAAGAGGACACGTGGCAGAAGTATTACCTTGAAGGAGTAGCCAATGAGATGTACACCGAGTACCTTTCAAGTGCCTTTGTGGGTTTATCCTTCCCGGTAATTTGCGAGTAAGCATCGTAAAATGTTTCCTTTTTATTGACTTTTTTTTTTTTTTTTTTTTAACTTTCTGGATGGGATATATTGTTTCAGATTATTTTGAATTTCATTTTAGAAGAAATTCAGTTCAGTTTTACTTTTTGAACCAACCATCCTTGCCGGTTGTGACAAAACAGCCACTTCCATAAGGGTCATTGTGACTGAAAGGAAACCACTTTAGCTCCGTTATCAGTTATAAAAAGATTCAGTCCTCAGACATGAGAAGAGACCCACAAGGCGATTATGGGTAAATCAATATTTAGTCCGTGTGTATTCTGATGTAATTGTTGTGTTTTGCAGACTCTGCTACGTGAAGCTCAAATTGCTCCTGATAGCCATAGAGTACAAGTCGGACCAACGGGAGAGCAGGTACGTGTTTGTGATCACAGTAGATTGTGTGCTCGCTGTCGGTGATGATCCTTCAAATCAGCTTGTTTGATCTTCAACAAACGACTGACATCTGAATTGGTTCACACAGAATAAGCTTCGTTTTCATACTCGTTTTTACCCTTCGCAGTGTCACCCCTCTGTTTTTTTGCTGCTTCATTTAATAAACAAAATATATCCTGCCAAACGTTGTGGGAACGACTTTGACAGCAACATATCGCTGCCAGTAATCAGGGATATAACTTTCTGCTTGTTTATCTTTGGTCCATTGATGGATCCAGCACGCTGATCAACCCTGGCAACCATGTGAAAATGCAGGAGGGGACGTTGGGCTTCTTCATTGCAAGCGACGCCAAAGAAGTAAAGAGGTAACGAACGAGACCCGAGGACGTGTTCACGTGATCACGATTGAAATATAAAACAAACGTACCTTTTTCAGTTAAAGTTAAAAATTAAAACAACGGGTACGGATGTGCAAAACAATTCTCTATTAGCGCATGCATACTCACACATATGAATGTTTTTGTGTGTAAACAATTAGTGTCAACACTTTATGACCAAAAAAATAAAAATTTTGGTAAGATAAGTTTGGAATAATTTTATCAAAGAGTGTATTTGTAAGTACAGTAGTCCCTCATTTATCGCAGGTGTGACCATCCCCCCCCCCCCCCCCCCCATAAGTAGGAAAACAGTGAAGTAGAGATAGTAGTTCAAGTAGTAGTAAAGTTGTTTAACTTCCATAATTCCATTCAAAAAGTTAATCTTTAATAGATGATAGATTCAGGGCCCACAATTCAAACGATTTCAAGTATTTGTTTATTTTTACATAATTTGGGCTTCCAGCTCATTAAACCCATGAAAACAGGATTTCAAAAAAATTTAAATACTGTGGAGAAATCAGGCCAAATTTTGCAGGGCATGAATGTTTTAAACTGAGTGTGACACTAATCATCTACTAAACTCAAAGCTGCACAGGTTTCCCCAGGTGTCATTAAATTGCTTCAGTTTGGTTCAATTGTCTCAGTTTGGTTCAATATGGGGAAGACTGCAGACATAACTGGCCAGAAGACCATCATTGACACCCCCCATAGGATGGGTAAACCACAAAAGTTCATAGCTAAGGAGGCTGGCTGTTCACAGAGTGCTGTGTCCAAGCACATCAATGGAAAGGCAAGTGGAAGGGTAAAATGTGGCAGGAGAAGATGCACCAGCAAAAGAGATGACCATGGGCTTGAGCGGATTTTCAGACAGAGAAGATTTCATAATCTGTCAGAGATCCGGAAAGAGTAGAATGAGGCCGGAGTCACAGCTAAAAACCACCACATTCTTCAAAACCCACCACATTCAAACGCATCCGGGAGATGGGCTACAACTGTCGGGTTCCTCGGTCCTCTTTTCCGATGAAAGTAAAGTGTGCCATTCATTCGGAAATCAAGGTCCAAGGGTTTGGAGGAAGAAGGGTGAGGAACAGAGCCCACACTGCTTGAGGTCCTGTGTGAAATATCCAGATTTGCGGTGCAATGTCCGGTGCAGGTGTTTGTAAACTCTGCTTTCTTAAATCCAAGGTCACCGCAATAATCTACCAGAATGTTTTAGAGGACTTCATGATTCCTTCTGCTGAGGATCCCAATCTCCCTCTTTCTGTGTAAATAAACTATTTAAATTTAAATACTGTACTGTAATAGTTTAAATGAACAATCCAAGCTGCATGAGCACCTTTATTTTAAATAATCAAGCATGACCAGAACCGAGTCTTTAGTTCCCCTTGGCAAACGGCCAGGCCACCGGGAAATATCCTGATTCTCTGAATTTGCCCCTAACCTGCTGCAATTGTTTAAAATAATTCATTTTAAATTATTTGTAACATGAAGCACCAGAGAAGCGCAGTGCACAAACAAAAACCCAACAAAAAACAAAATAAAAGCACAATCACAGGTCCAAAATTATGTCAAATAAATTATTTAAAATGATTGCAGCAGGTTGGGGGTGAACTGTCAGAGCATCAGGATATTTCCCGGTGGCCTGGCTGTTCGCCGAGGGGAGACTAAAGACTCCGTTCTGGTTGGGTTTGATTGTTTAAAATAAAGCTGCTCATGCAGCATGGAATGTTTATTTAAACTATTACAGTACAGTATTTAAATTGTTTATTTAAACTATTACAGTACAGTATTTAAATTGTTTATTTACACAGAATGAGGGAGATTGGGAGTGATGAGCACGAGTGTGATTCTAGGGGAGAAGTGGGCGTGGCAGAGAGCGGAGATCATGACAGGCTGCAGGAGGGAGCTTCTCCCTGCACCTGTGGGCTGCACACAGGTGTAGCAGGTGCCAAATCATTTAAAATAATTTATTTTAAATAAACAATCATCCATCAATCAGCCAGTTGTGTCATGTCTAATCTTATTTTGAAAAACCACGAAAGAGCGAGTCCGTGAAAGTCAAACCGCAAAGTAGTGATGGACTGTTGTACAGCTGTATAAACACGTCAAAAAGAATTAACATAAACACTTCAGGACATAAAACTAATTATTTGGACTTCTCTGCCGTACGTTTTTTATTTTATTTTTTAACAAGAATAAAAAAATAAAAACTGTTAACATATGTTGCAACCTGACTCTTGTCACTCCCTTTTACTTAAGAAATTCATTCATTCATTCAATATATTTATTTTAAGTTTTCAACTGCTAAGTCATATTTTTATGTTTTTGCCTGCATGCAAAGACTGCTTTTTGTGCTAATTCTAAATACTATTTCTAAATTTTAATCAAAGTAATCTGAATCCAAATCCAGACTGAATGAAGTCTCTTCCATCATTGGAACGTTCTTCTTTTGCAGAGCGCTGTTTTACTGCAAGGCCTGTCACGATGACATAACCGACCCCAAAAGAATAAAGAAATGTGGATGCAAGAAATGTAAGTTCATTCACATTAAATGCACACGGAGCAGTAATGTGTTCAGATCTCTAAACTCTACCTGTCCAAACCACTTAGATGCTGCATTAATTGTTCATTTGATAAAATCTTGTAACGTATCTTTCTCCAAGTTCCCTCACTGATGAGTAAATTCATTTAAGAGATTTAACCTAATTATATTACAACCACCTTGTTTTTCTTTTTGAGGCTGTTTTCTCTAGTTTGTTGCTGTTTATTGTTACACAGCTTTTATAATGGTTATGTTAAGAGTCACTAAAAGATTTAATCCCACATGTAGTTGGATTAAGGATGTTGTTGAAAAAAAATAACTTTTTGTTTCAGATTGTCTTGTTATAACATGTAACCTTCATTTCTCATGTATTCTTTTCTTGCTGCTTTGGAACTTGACACGCTTTTATAAAAATAATCACTTTGTAGTGATATATTGTGAGTAAGGAGGACTTGTTTGGGTTGGCATGACAACCCTGCATCTGATCGAAGTGACCTGTTTGAATGCACCTTTAAATGTTGCATGTTCGGTGGTGGTTGCTGCCTGGGTTCCACATTTTTATGTCTTTTAAATATTTTTAACAATATTACAAGTTCTGGGAATACACTAGACAAATACTTTGAAAAGTAGATAATGTGTTTTTGTCAAAGTCGATTTACTTCATGCCTCTTGAAATGATTTGTAATCCCCAAATTGACCAGCAGGTGTCGCCACTGGTCCATAGCAAACATCTAAACAAGAACAGCTAGAAAGTCACCAGGATGAGAAATAAGGAGCATTTATCAAATTAACTGGCGATAAAAAGGATATACCATACCATTATGAAAATTGCTAAAATTACAAATCAACTGTTGCAGTTTCTCCACCATATTGATAGTATTTTGAACAAACATTACATACAGTATACATTGAATCTTGTAAAATTTAAAAGTTTTGCTATCTTGCCTGTGAAAGTATGAAACCTTTAAAATAGTATGTGTAGTATTTCATCATAGTGAGTACAAGCTTTTCTGGGTCATGTTTAGATGAGGGGAAGGGGTGAAGCCAGGCAATCAAAAGATTTAAGTTTTCTTCTGCTGGTGATTAAACTCAATACAATCCAACAAATTGACTTGGTGTGACTAAAGCAGGACGAGTTAGCGTTTTTTAACACGTGCTCGCCGTCACGTCAAAGTGTATCATGATCCTCCCAGCAGAAGCCGTCCTTTGTACCCTTTTGTCTACCTTTGTCCACTTCTCCACATTAACCCGCTCTCCCTCTCCTCTTGTCTGAACCCATGACTGTAGCCAAGAAGTCCGCCTACAAGAAAATGCGACTGGCATGTTGTTTTGACCGCGGACGCTCAAAGCAGGGCTGCTCTTGCATGCCGGTTAATGTGCGTTGTAGCTCAGACTCCCCTCGACGGAACATCAAACTCTCTGCTGTCTCTGTTAATGATTGCTCAGCCACGTTGCGTGCCTGTAAGTTGTCGACGTGACATGTGCTCCTTGCTGTTTGCGTTGTGCAGTGTGTTTTCAGCCTCCGCTCTGCTGTGTCGTCGCCGTCATGGACATACATACATGTTGCTTTGGCCTTCTGACTTTGCTCAGTCAGCTGGTGCTTTTCTTCCCTCCATCACCTCTTTCGGAGGTGATCTCTTACTGTTTGAAGCATGCTGGTTGACTGTTTTGCAGTTTTCTTCAAATAATCTTTATCTGAATTGAGATGAATATTGTGGCATTTCTTGCAGACCGGAAAGCAAATCCCTTTGCAGCGACATCACCAATATGTAATAAATTAGAGACAAAGCAGCTCAATCCTGCAGCAGAACTCCCAACAGATGCACTGTTTGAGCATTTCAATGCTTTTACTCAAATGTGCTTGTTTGATTTTGATAGAGTGCAAAAAAAATACTCAAAGAATGTCGCTACAGGGAGCAAATTCCTTGTTTTCTGCAAAAATAAACGCAGTATTTAATCTAAATATGTTCCTACATTACCCTGTAGAAAGACGTGGTCAGTATAGGGTTGGGAATGTTTTTACAAGTAGATGACACTGATAATTTAAGAAATGCTTTTGAGAACACCTTGGGGGCCTTTGGGATTTCAGTGCATATTGAGGTTAATGTAGTGGTTTTATTAAATTAAGATGAAACGCTCATACAAGCTCTGAGGGTAGAATCTGCAACACATCCAACAGGCTTCATTTGCCTGAGTTGTAGGAAACACTTCTACCTTTAGCTTCATAACCTTGAGTGAAATCATTTTCATTTTAGAAGGGACAAAAGACACATGGCTGCGTAGGAATGAGTTTGAACAGAGCTGCAAGAATTCATCATTTTAGTGCGATTTCTCTTTAAAGCCCGAGGCTTTTGTTCTGCTGCATGGCAGCAGCCGTGAAGGATGTGTCTGAAGCGTTGATGCATTTTGCTGGAAAACATTTTAGACTGTCACACGGTTTTAGTAGATTCTGGATTAACTACTGTTCTTTGCATAACTGAGGATCTAAGGGCGTTTCCACCCCTCCTCGTGTCTCCCAGGGTGGTGTGCTGCGAGATCCGCCCAGCTACCAAAGTTTGAGCGTAGCTCCGGCGTCGCTGTCGACGCGGTGCAGGAGTCGCACGGAGCAAGACCTTATACAGCCTGACATGAAAATTATGTTTGCATTTTCATTTTTGGAGTGCTACCGGTTGTCATGAAACTCGGTGTGACAGTTCCTAACCACCAGGCAGCCAAATGCCCCCACCCCTCTGCTTTACTCCGGTTGTGGGACAGATGCTAGCCTGTTAGTCCTGTAACTCCGCTCACGCCCTCCAATTGCAGGCGACAGATGCCAGGACCAGCAAGGTCTCCGTTTGAACATTGCTGTCACTGTCCAGCCCCCAGCTCAATGCATGACCTTTATTGTGAGCAAGGGGTTGAACTAAGTCACTAATGAGCAAGTGTGGCGTTCACGAACACAAGAAGTGAAGCACAGGAAGTTCTACGCAGGTTCTCCTGGACAAATCTGAGAAAAATACATACAGCTCCAGAAACTTGGTGGACAAAAGCACCTTGCAAATGTTGTTTTATGCAAAAAGCTTAAGGCAGATCTAGAAATCTAACCATTACGTTTTTAACTGTAAACAGCAGCTGTGTGCACTTAGGCCTGTCACGATAACAAATGTTGCTGGGCGATTGTCTCAGAAATGATTGCGATAAACGATAACATTGTTTGAAATTTGACAATAATTAGTAATTATTGTCAACTTTAAGAAGAATTGTTTAATTTGGTTTGCATGTAGTACCTTTTTTTGACCACCGTATGGCAGTATAAAACTGTTTGAAGCGAAGGATGGATAGTGAGGGAGCGAGCAGCGTGTCTCTTTAAGAAAAATAGGAGGGAGGCCCCTTGACGTGACATGGGCTGTCTCTTTAATTCTCAAAATGGCGGACTCTCGGTGTGGTTTGAGCTCTTTAGCGTAGCAGTTTTCACACAAAGCTTTTAATAAAAAAAAATAGTTCTCAGCTTCTTTTTGCAGAGAAAAACAACTTTTTACACGACGGCACGGGTTTCAACCGTGAAGTTTGGAGCTTCGACAAGACGGAGGTTTTTTCTTGAGGTCGGCCTGTTAGCTCAGCTCAGCTCGCTTCTCAGCTTAGTTGCTTTTACCAATCCAAAAACGCGATTTTGGACATTTTAAAGAGGAAAAAATAAAAGGAGGGGTCACTGAAGAGCACCGGAGTTGACCTTTTTGTCATCTAGTGTCTTCAGTAGAAAGAGAGAGACACAAAGAAACGATAAAGCCGATAAATGAAAATGAGGTCGATAATTTTCATTTATCATGCGATTAATTGATTTAATGTTTATTGTGACAGACCTTTATGCACTTTTGTAGAGTAGTATGGACAAGCCACTTTCTTGAAATATATAAAATACTGTATATCAGAGGAGAACTGGCAGCTGAACCAATAAACTGGCACCATTTTCACAATATATTTTTTATGAATTGATTTATTTATTTTTTATATTGGTAGAAGGATGTTAGAAACGCGGCTGCCAGGAAAAAGACGAGGAGTTATGTGGATGCAGTTAGAGAGGACATGGAGACCCCCCTGAAGAGGGAACAGCAGAAAGATTTATTTATTTTGTATTTGTTTTGACACTGAATGTTTTTGCTTTGTTATAGCAAACTGGAAATGTTCACTAAGGAATCAAAATTACAATGAGTTTTTCATACAGTAAATATTAAAGATATCCAAATTGTTACATTTATTGACATTCCGATTGTTTAGGAAAATTATTGGGTCCCCCTTTAACCTTCAAATGATCTCAGCTTAAACACCTAATCCTCTTAATTTGCTTGATGTAGCATATCAGATTCATCACATGACTGTTTGTATGAAAATTGGTTGACTTGTGTTTTATTTCTCCTTGCTTGGTCCACTTTGACCTCGGGGCTCATCTCTATGTTTATGAGTCCTAAACGAGCACCTCAGCCTCCCTTTTGCTGTTGTCATCTTTAATTTGCTTTCATTATTATCCGTTTATTCCCATAACCTCTTGTCTCTTTCTTTGTCTTCTCAGCTAAAAATAGCTATAACGGATATATCAAATCAAGTAAGTTCTTCTCTCTTTTGTCTTTTGCACTTCCACACGTGCGTTCTCAGCTGTCGCCACCTGATCCATCTCTAACCTGCTGCATCTCACCGTCGTCATCCATTACCGTGCACTGTTACATGCAGAGCAAAACGTTTGGTGTTGGGTGTCATTTACGGCTCGGCAGTAGATGGAGCTACTGCTTCACTGTAAATGCACATGCACTATATCATGAAACACACTTCAAGTAAATATTTGGGTGAAAAGAAAATATAATGGCATTTGATTTCTGCTAGTAAGCCTAACTGAATTTAAAAATAATAAACTATTTGATCTGATACTTTTAGGTTTTGTCTAGCCATCATCTGAGTGTCGTCAACTTTAACCGGGGTCTCTGCAGCAAATGTGCCACATCGTGTTGTCCTGAAGAAGTGTTGCTCATGTTTGACATGAGGCAGATATATACTGGAGGTCTGAAACAGGGAGGATAATCTGCGAGACAGCTGACCGTTAAAATAATCATCTCTCTTCTCCAATTTTAACCTGAAGACATCCCCCTCCCAACTAAATAAGCTTCTCTTTTTGTTTTTATTTTCCCTAGTGCTTGCCTCCTTTAAAACACCGACAGATACTGAATTGATCTTGTTTTAGGAATAAACTGCACACGGCAGCTCTTGGCTGGTCATTCATGGCGTCTACTTTTTTGTGACAAAACAATTGCTGGAACACCTGAAAGCATGCTTATTAATGTATCTTTATAATAAATATCAAAGTCGCTAAATGTCATCTGTGGCATTATGAAGTGGTTAAGTGGCGTTAAAATAAAGATATATATTTTTAAATTATTCAGCTATTAGCATTCTTGTGCCAGAAAGAGTTATCCATCGAAACCAGAGATTGTCTTTAAATTATTAAAATGTTTTATTAACTCGTGCACTGCAGGTCCCATTGAAGTCGGCTTAAATCACGTCACAACTTTGTTTTATTGGAAGAATTAAACTCACTTAAATCACAAAACTACTACTTTTTTTTTTTTTTTTTAGAAGTCTGAGTTTATTTTTATTTTATTTAGGTGAGTGTTTTGCCTTACATAGCTGCTGATTGACTCCTCTTCATCTACATGTAAACAACAGCCCTCTAATCCGGTCATTATTTTCTCATAAATCAGATAAACTGAGCCAGAACCCATCAGGCAACCAGGTCTGCACGCGGCCCCACCGAGTTGCTGATGTGTCCATCCCTTTGGTAAACAATCGCAAGGGAAACCTACTGCCTCCCACCAAGCCCTCTGCTCTGACACTGAGTCTCCGGGGCTCTGGAGACCTGGTCCAGGTCAGCCAGCGACTGAAGCAGGCGCGAAGCCTGCCAGTAAAATGCAGATACCATCCCAGTCACTCCAGTAACGCCAAACTTGGTCAGAGGCAGTGTAAAGGCCACCTCCTACCCTTGGTGTGCTTGATGGGCTTGACCTCAGCAACACAACAAACTCCCCCCCATAATAAAAATAAAACAACTGGACCTCTGTTGTTGCAGATGTTTTGGTTTCATCTTAGATTTTTCAATAATAATAATAAAAAAAAGGATGGAGGTTGTGGTGTTAAGGTTTTTTTTTTTTTTTTTTTTTTTTTTTTTTACTGCAAAACAAGGTCTGGTACATTTAAAAAAAAAAGTTCAATCATGACATCTGAACAGATTCTTCTAATGAGTTAATTTTTTTTTGTGTGATTGAACTTACAAACACTTTTCCAGAATGTCTGGTACATAACCAATGTTCGCAAGCAGATTAAACTCACAACCCTCACAACAGAGAGTTGTTTGTCTTTACATGCCTGAGGAGGTCTCAGACTTTAGTTTTCTAAAACTTATAATAGAGCATTAAGCCTGTTACCTAGCCATTTGTACTCTATTTAGCACCTTCATATATGTGACCAAAGCCTGTCTTTGTGAGCAAGACAAACAAAGACCCTAATGACTTTCCGTTGTGAGGGTGTTGAGTTTAATCTGCACGTAAATCCATCTTATATAATGGAACATTAATCTTGTTACCCAGCCATGTGTATTCTAATCAACACCTATATGCAGGTGACCAAAGCCAGACAAACAAAGACCCTAATGACTCTCCGTTGTGAGGGTCGTGAGTTTAATCTGCATGTGAATCTAGCTTATATAATGGAGCATCTTGGGCAGTTTAAAAGTGTGCAACTCCACACTCCCTAGTGTTTTTATTTAAGAAAGCACCCTGATAGTAAGCCAACATCTTCAACTACAGAAGTCAAGTTGTTGTTTTAATTTTTTTTTTTTTTGGGGGGGGGGGGGGTATTTACCATGTCCTACATCACTAAGAAGCTACACCAGCATAAATAACACAACCAAAGCATGTGCTTGCAAGGCTGAAGTGCTTACATGTGTAACATTCTTTACTGATGACCCAGTGCGCGCAGCTGTCAGCTGTGAAACATTAAATATTGAACAGGCCGAGCAAGATGTGAAGGGCTCGGGTGTTGAGCGTCCCTCTCCACTGGAGGCCTTGTGTATTTCAGCATTCTCCATTATGGTGTCAGTCCTAGTCATGCTATCAGGAAACCATGTGTTCATCTGCAAGAAAGCATCATCTTTGACACTTTAAAACTAATGAAAGCGTGCAGGTTGTCCCCATGTTCAAAGGGGGAAAAAACTAGTTCACAGCTTGAAGCATCACTAAAAAGACAATAAAGTGTTTTTAACAACCTGAACAACCCGTAACAAGCCATTCCCACTGAATGATGACTGTTAAAGTGCCATTACTGAAACCGCTTCTCCCTCTGCTTGTTCGTTTTTCTTTGTGACTGCCCGAGATTAGTTTTCTTCAACTATATCACCTTGATGAAATATATGAATACTTGACCCATAGGTAAAATGTATACTTCGCTCGGCACAGCTCAGTTTGGTGAAGTGATAAAGACGTTGTCCGAAGGGTATCTAAGCTGTACATAAATCACTCGGGCAAGAGGGCCACCCTCATTATACGAGCCAAGGGCACCACTCCCATGATGACCAACAATTCCAAAGGGGATTCAGTACTGGCACACAATATGCCTCATTTTGTAGTACTGAATGAAAACTTGCAGGTTTTTACATTAATTGAATAAAAGCCTGTTATCCAGTTTTTGGTATAAATGTGTACAGTACTAACAAGAATGAATAGCAGTGATGTTAATATTCTCTGGTGCTAGAGTCTCTGATATAATTGTTGATGTGAATTACAGTTCTGTATTACTGAGTGGTAAATCAAACCTTTAGTAATCAGCATGAAGGTTTATGATGACCACCTTTAAGTTCGTATCTCTGTACTTGTCTACACAGTATATTTCACCATATGACTGTGCACAATACATTTTTAAATACTCTGATCTCAAACCATACTGTTTCTTCAGTGATGTACTTTGGATTGCTCGTTTTCCGATAATCCTCCCTTCGTGTTGTTGCAGTTGAAGAGGACCAACAGTCTGCGCTCTCTCCCAAAAAGAAGCAACGCAATGGCGGCATGAGAAATTCCCCAAACTCCTCACCCAAGATAATGAGGTAGGAATCCAGTGTCTTATGGAGAACACCTTGAATATTTTCTGTGCCCACTCTTTCGTGAAAAATAACATGTCAGATGTGCAAATGCCACATGTGACTTACAGAGACTGGAGCTCTCGGAACAGGTCTGGCACTAATGGCAGCACCTTGCAGTGGGACGGGCTTTAAAGGATGGATAGCCCGAGGCTATTCTTCTATTGTCGGAACCCTCTGAGGTCTTTTCAGCACGTAGAGCCACAGATGATATGTATCATCACAATGAGAGGCAAATTCAAATGCTGTCTTGCTTTTATCTTGTCTCATGAAATTAAAGCAGCGCTTATTGATCTTGACTGGAGAGAACACTGTTATTCAACAAGAACCCATTACTGGAATGATAATAGTAGTAGTCATCGTCATTAAGTGCCAGGTTATAAGGAAGCCACGCAACAGAGAGGACCTGGAGCCTGATGTTTACAGCGGGGTGCAGATGTAATTTAATTAAAACAGACGGATGACTTTATTCTCTCATTCCTAATACGGCTGCTGTTTGTTTGACATTTGAAAGTCAAACCCACATGTCTGTATTGATTATTGCTGTATTGTACAGTGCAACTGTGTAACAGATAGTGGTTAAAAAAGTGGCTTAGTTGTGTTACAAATAAAAGTATTAATTTGCATCATTTAGCATTTTCTTTGATCTAAGGCCTCTGGTTTTTCAGGTGGGCGTTTGCCCTTGTTTGGTTGACTTCAAAGTGGTGTTCAAGTTGAATCGCTGCGGGTGATATCCAGACTCTTGGGTAACAAAACCCAAGCTTTTCCAGTACTGTAGCCATCAGCTAAATATCAACCCACCGAACCGATCCATCTACTTGCCACACTAATACGCTGCAATACAGGTGGATGTGCTATTCCTTTCAGCGCCTGCTGTCTGTAGAGGGATTCACTGCTGTAGCCTAAGGGATACTTCATTGCAACAAGCAAAGAGGAAAAAAAAACATCTGGGTGTATACTATATCAAATGTGTTTTTATAGGACCTGTGGCCTCAAGGCCTTTGTAAATAAGTAATGACCAACAGATTGGCTGTGGGTTTTGAAGAGCAAGCCTTTGTCAGTTTGTATGAAGGGTAGGCTTTTTAAAGACTTCTCCTGTGCTTGTATAAGCTTTAGCAAGCTAGTGCAGTAATAATGAAATGGAAATGCACATAATGTGCACGAGTGCTTTCCATTTTATCTTTGAGCCTTCATCACATACTGTACGTCTACAAGACACTTGGCCTTACGTTTTGCGATCATGATGTATACTCGAGTTTTGAATCGTGTAGTTTACGTAAATTTCTAAAAGTTCCCAAAAGTAAAACAGCGCGTCTTTAAACAAAAGTTTGTCGTTTCCGAGAAACCGTTTTCGACTCAGCAAACTGGCGCTTCCTGTCTGGAGCTTAGCAATGAACATTCTGAAATTAAAACCACGTCCACGGGCTCTTGATGGGTCATACGACACGTCTAACTGCGGCGTGTCAAAACGTGTTTGGTCACATCCAAATGCCTTGACATACACGTCATGTCTGCCGTGGCGCTGCTGAGGCAATTGTCGGTGTAGGACAGTGACAGGCCGTCATGGCTGACAGTGAGCGATAGCTATCCTGGCAGAGCTCTGCCTCACCAGTCATCTCCACAAGGACGAGCTGAAGCGACAGCAGCTCCACTGAGTGGGAGCTGAAGTATTTGACTTTTGATTAAATATTTAGCCGAGGTGTAAAACCTCTAAGTACTTTCGCTCGTATTGGACTTCATGTTTCAGACGTAGCACAAGCAGATGGTAAAGTAAAGCACAAAGCATCATTTTTGATTTTCATTGCAGAGGTTTTTTTGACGATTGGTTCACCACTTGGTTGTTTTTAACTTCTAAATTAGGATCTGTTTTATGGATTGTTTTAAGTTTTCAGGACAAGTTAAATGAGTAACTCCAGCTTGGACTGTTGTAGTTGGCCATTTTACATTTACAACATCACTGAGTGAATCAAATGAATTAAAATATCATAAAATAAAGACCTAGCTTTCATTCAAGTTATCCATATCGCCTTCCAGCTTTCATGCCAGAGTTTCACACTGAAATCATCTTATTAGAGAAGGGACGTGTTTTGGACAAACCTTGTAAACGACATTTTGTTTGACTTGATCTTGAGATGACATGTGATAGCGCTCAGAATGTTTAAGACAACATTCAGCAACTAATAGAGCAGGTTTTGGTTAATATCAGCAGAGTTACAGCTGTGTTACTACAGCCAATGCATAAATCTCTAATCAGGATTATCACTGTGGAAAAACAATTAAAAACTCACTGTAATGCAACGTTGATTGGTGATATGTGCTGCTGATTATCCATGCTGCTGATCTCATGCTGCTGTGTTCATTCACTCGTACTCATCTACCCACAGACTCATGTTCGTGCTGCTGTTGTTCGGTGTACAGTAGTCCCTCGCTACTTCGCGGTTCGTTTATCGTGTACTCGCTCTGTCGTGGTTTTTCAAAATAAGATTAGGCATGACACACATTTGGCTGATTGATGGATGAGTTTGGCCTGGAATTTTTATTTAAAATAAATTATTTTGAATTATTTAGCACCTGCTGCACATTTGTGCAGCCCACACTGCAAGATAAACTTCTCGCTGCAGCTGATCAGCTGTTCACTGTGCAGAGCGGAGAAGTGGGCGTGGCCAAGAGCACTTGCAGGTGGCTGAGAGCAGAGGAGGCAGAGAGCTGAAATCATGACATTCAGTGCTCTTTTAGAGCATTTAGAGTTTAGAAACATTGTTTGGAATATTGCAAGAGTGTGGGAAGGGTTTAAAACAATAAACTACTACTTGTACTACTATTCCTACTTTGTGGGTTTTCGCTTATCGCGGGTCTTCAGGTTAAGGATACCCCGCGATAAACGAGGGACTACTGTATTGTTTTGTACTATTAGTGTTTAGCGTATAACTTAGTTTATATCTCAGATCCTTATTTACAGTTTCTTTTTACACTTTATGTTTTTGGGACCCTGTGTACACAGTTTTGTTCCACCTCATGTACCACATGTGATGCAAATGACTATAAATTACCTTGAACCTTGATATTTTTTGTTTCCTGAGGTCAGTGGTGGCCATCTTGAATGTGGTTGACTCTAAAATGTCATCAGTTGTAGATGCATATCCAGTGAATACTTTGAGGGTTTCATTAAATTCTGTCAACTACACTGAGATAATTTACCAACACTACAGATAATGAAAATACACACACATGAACACACATGGCAAAAACATTTTTACTGTGAGCAATAACACAAAAAGAGACTCTGTGATTAGATGTGTCATGATACCGGTGCTAGTTTTTTTTTTTTTTTTTTTTTTTTT